AGGCTCCCTATTTGAACTTGAAGCAAAGGAAAGTGGGTTAAGTGAAGTGAATATATTGCCTAACAGGGAGCAGCTGCCTGCCAGATTTAGCAGTGGCTGACAGTTATAAACACACTCTTATCTAGTCATTCAGGAGAAACAAGCCTGCTAGAGCAGCTACCCACTGTTGACACGGGTTTCTGTCAAAAGGAGCACACTGAGCACACTGCTTTGTTGATAGCACTGTTGGTCTGGGTACACCGGAGGCATATTTAACAAATGTTTTGTGCTGATATGCATGCTTATGTTTAACTCAAGGGAAAAAAAACAATTTAAATGCTGCAGTTAGTGCAGGATGTTTACAACACTGGTACCATTTGCACTGAAAACTCCCTCCCCAAAAAGAACTCCAAATATATACTTCTTTTAAAAGGCACTCACAGACTGCCACCATCCCCTCATGCTTACACATACACACACAGGCACACACAGTGAGCTATTGTGTCTGAGAGAGTTCAGGCATCTGGAGAGCAGAAACCTTCTGTGGTGACCTCTGACCTCTGGTGGCTGAGAGTCATAGACTGACATGAGGTTCTGTGGAAGACTTTCAGGTGAGTCAGAGAGCTCTCAGACAACTTTTAAAGGACCATTGTGTACCCTGTGTGCAGGGTTTGTTGTGTCTCTACAGTATTAGCAGATTAGCAGTTACAAGTGAGCAGCAAACCTGATATCTTAGGTTATTTTAACACATCAATATTCTTTGAAACTCAAGGCTTCTTGTAATTCTTCTTCACTTTTTACAGTATCTCATAGTAGCCTCCTGGAGGCCACGTTGAGTCATTTAGGATGTGCCTTGTATTGCTGCATTGTTGTTCACAACAGCAGTGTAACATCACATGGTGTGAACCTTTCAGGTTATTGTCATCTGATGACCCAGTGACAAGCTTTTTTGAAAGGGATCCAAGACAAACTGGTTGGTAGAGTTCAGTATTGAGCTGTACAAAGCCGACGCTTCAGGGCTGGAAACATTAGATATTAATTTGCAACACAGTGACACCTAGTTACTCACCCTATGCTGTTATCCTGGTGTCTATTTGATTTTTAAGTTACGCTAGCTGTGACCCATTATTCCTGCTTTGTTTTCCTGTTGGCTGGTGTTTAGGTGAGTGTCAGTGCAGCTGCAGTGTACCCTGTCAAGGTAAACAAATGGCCAACAGAAGCTCCCCTCTGCTGGCTGCTGGTAAAACGCCAAGCCTCCTGGCAAACTTCATGTTGCTATGTGTCGCCATGGTGACGCTATCACAAAGAACTCCAGCTGGTTCTCTGTACGTGTGTGTGTGTGTGTGTGTGCGTGTTTGTGTATGACAGAGAAAGAGAGGGAGAGACGGACAAATGGACAGAAAGCGAGCAGACGGAGCCAGGCAGTAACTCTCTGATTTACCCTCCTCCTCCTCCTCAGTCTTGTTCTTGCTCCTCTTCTATTCTCTGCCCTCTCCCCTCTGGCAGACCCTCATCCCAAACACAGTGCAGCTGGGCTCAGCTGTCAATGTTCCCCCATACTGACCGCCCCCTTTCCGGGCCTTTGTATTTGTTTGGTTGGGTAGTGGATTTGCCCTTGGCCCCCGCGCGGGGGAGCCCGTTCCTGTTAGCTAGCCTCTTAAACCAAACCGTCTGCTCTTTGAAGTGGCCTATCACAGATACACAGATTGGAGATTACACAGCAGCTGCCTGCCTTCAATCTGTCCAGTAACATGAACACAACAATTAAATAAAGGAAACAGCATACACCTATGCAGACACACAAATGGGACACGGTGATCAGCAGAGCCAAAAAAAAAAGAGGTGGCTAGCAAGTCTGTTTTTGTTCTGAAGGCTGGTGAAATGAATGGAGACTTTGCTTTGTCTCAGGGGAGGGAAGAGGGCTTTCTTTGATTTTTATCAAGCCCAGAGGTGGGGGGAGTGCTCTGCCAAGAAGAACTGCTATTCACACCAACTTGTCGGCATGGGACTTTTGAAGTATTTGTCAAAAGAAGGATTTGGCAGAGAGCCACTAGAGTTTTGTCATTCACAAACTCTTCTCTTTGGGATGACAATGCTCGCAGCAGGCTGCACCTAACTCTGTGAGGGAAGAGAGATGAAATTCCATAATTCCACTTCAATTAAGTGAGGAAGTTGTTCCCAAGAGAATATGATTGATGTATTTTCTTTTTCCCCTAACCTGATATTATGAAGTGAAACTTTTGTGTGCTTGTCGGTGTTTATCGGTGTTTGGTGAAGAGAGTTTTCCACATTCCTTCTTAAGGGTCTGATGGAATCTTGCGTCACATTCCTACTTCACTCTGTCCTTGACTGTTTGTGTGCGTGGGAGGTCCAGGGCAGTGTAGCTGTCTAATGCTTTCATGGCTGCGAGAAAATCTAACTATTTTCTTATCATTTCTGTGGAAACTGGAAACTTGGTGTCTTATCAGGACAGTTGTTTTGGTCAGATGCTTTCCCCTCTCTATTGTCAGACAGGCAAGAATTAGAAGATAGGTAACGTACAAACTTCAATCAATTAATTTTGCAAAATGTTTGATGACACATCTTTACACGCTTACATCACTGACAAGGGCTCGATCGCTGTGGACAACAGCTTCAATCCTGGTGGATAGGGAGCATATCAGTGGCAGGAAGCCTGTGGTCTCCCTTGATGTGGAGAGGTTGAAACACAAAGCTGGGTTGTGTCAGTGTCATTTGTGTCCCTCTGTGCCTGCATGTGCACGTCTGCAAGCCCAATGCGCGCATACATGTGTGCGTGGGCATGTACCGACTCCTGATTCCTGAGTGTGTTTACTTAACCTGTCTCGGCATTCAAAACTCCCTGTCATTCTCTCCACCGTGTCTGGCTCTCGCAGTGACAGCTAGGTGGGACACGGCGCGTCGTCTCCTGTTTCATACAGCGTTATATTGAGCGGATGAAAACCCTCTGTTCTTTAACCCTTCTCTGGGCCTGAGAGGAGCGTGCACACACACACACACACACACACCCTCACATGCAGTCATCCAACATGACTTTTAGATGACTTCAGGGGATAGAAGCTCTAAAAGGGGCTGACATTCTATCCTTTGAACCTCCGTGGCTGATAGGGGCAGGGCCTCTCCCTGTGTGTGAGTGCATGTGTGTGTTCACTGTGTATTTTTTTTTCTTCTCTTGTGGGTCTGTACTCAGTGACCTTTCTGAGGATTAGCCCTGGATGTCAATCATATTCCCTAGACATCTGTGAAAAGTCGAGACAGTGCTGCATATCATGGCATGCTCAGATGATTCCGCCTGATATGACTTTGGCAGTAATTCCTGCATATACAGTATTCTCCAAAGAAATACATGTGACATTTAGCCACAGAAGGAAATACAGTAAGCCATCTTCTTTTGTCTTTCTTGTGGTTTGTTTCACCACCATCAAAGACACTCATATTAGCAACTGTGATCTAATCTCAAGGCAGCATTCATCCCGTTTTAGGACTTTCCAGCTTGTCAGAACCTGACTGAAATCTCGTCTGGGATCATCCAATCACTGCTGAAGAGTCAAGAGGGAGGGTTGCGGGTGGCGGATGACTCTGACAAACCAAGAGGATGAAGTCAGCCCTCACTTCACCTCCAACATGTCAACCGCCTCTGTAGCTGTCAGTGAGATGGCAAAACACAAAGCAAACAACATCCGGCTCTAATAGTTTTAGACATGGCTGCTCGTGCTGGGTGTGGTTGGCAACAGTTGTCTGCCGCACGCAGAGCAGTGATCTCGCCATGGTAGGATGTTTGTCTTTTGTAGGGATTAAAGGGATCCAGGAAACCCGCTGTCCTACTTTTGCTGCAGAGCAGAGAGAAAGAGACCTAGTTTTGATGATAGCACCGGGCCAGGAAGGAGATTCCAAGGCATAATGTAGTTAGGTGGTGGCTGTTTTTGTCTTGCTTTAGACAGGCTATATTATTTTGTCTGTTGGCATGTTTCTATACACAGGCTTCTGAGTCAGTGTGTGTGAGAGTCTCCATTGTCTGCGCAGACAGACAGAAAGTGGGAGAGTGTTATTGAGCACTAGGATGCTTTTTAATATCTATTTTGTTGGATTTAATGCAAAGCCTTTGGAGTGTACTGAGCTCTCTAGCTGTCTTCTACAGTATCATTTAACTTCTGTACTTTTTCATAAATATCAATTAACTTCTATGTTATTATGCATGCAAACAACATCAAGGCACCAGGCATGCAGGGCTATATTTGGCATCATCAAATTGTCCTGGATGTGTACAGTAAGTTCGTAGAGGGCTTAACCATCTAGATCAGTGGGTCAAGTGGCTGACATACTAATCCTATTACTAGACGAGGCCTTGATTTGTTAAAGTTGGCCCTAATCTACTGTCCATTTTGACTCCTAGTAAACTGCCAGTGTCAGCTGTCACCAAAGTCATTTTCCTTTCAAGCAGTGCATTCGTTTAATTTTTAATGTGTTTTATTAATGTTTTTTTGATTGCGACGTTTTCATCCAGTTTTTTCATAATCTTAATTTATATGATGCATAACAGGCATGCATGCTGTATTTTCATACTTTCATTTCCCACATTTCTACTTAGGACTGTAATTACTGGATATTTTATGTTTAATATACAGTCATTATTTACTTGTTATCTTATTTATATTTTCGGTGTACTGTCATTATTTGCTGTTCAATATAAATATTGCATCAATATAAAATGCCAATAAATATCATTAAAGATGTATTCCAACAATTGTACAGTTGAACTCACAATAGACACTTTTTTTTTAAAGAATGGTTAAAATTACAGCAGCAGAGACAAAGATATCATGACAGTTAATCTCTAGAATGCATCTATATCCTACATTTCCAATAATGTGCTATCATAATCATCCCTGCCTCCTAAATGCCCACATCTTTCAAACCCCACACCAGATTTCAAGTCTTTTGAGATGTACACTTTCATTGTGTAATCATTTATCATCTCTCTTTCGCTGTTTCCTCCCTTGCAGTGTCATCATGCATCACAACCTACAAGAAGACACCTCCCCCTGTCCCACCACGCACCACGCCGTCCAAACCCTTCATATCCATCACGGCCCAGAGCAGCACCGAGTCCGCCCAGGATGCCTACATGGATGGGGGCTCTGGCCCGCGGACGGGCATCAGCTCCCAGCCTGGCCTGTCCAACTCCACGGAGAGCATCGACAGCATGAAAGCTCTGACAGCAGCCATAGAGGCAGCTAATGCTCAGGTGCACGGCCCTGCCAGCCAGCACGTCACCAACAGTACCATCACCATCACTGCCACCGCCACCACCTCTGCCGTCGCGCACGTCTCAGCAGACAGTAAGGCACAGAGGGAAGCGCTCCGCAAGTGCCTCTCTATAGGGATCCAGGTTGGTGGATGAGTCCTGGCTTCTGTTTAAGTTCTGAAATAAAACTCTGGTATGCAGTTTGACAGTCTCTCCCCTCCTCTTAGGTGGACCCAGAGGAAGGAGGGCCCAAAGAGGAGCAGTCTAAATTCCAGTCGATAGGAATTCAGGTGGAGGATGAACGATGGTGAGTAGGGAGACAAAGAGACAAGAGGAGGTTGTAAAAGTGAAACTGGACTCTAGTCTGATGGAAAGGATGAGACAGAGATAGCATGAACAGGGAGAGGACTTGTGGAGACAGAGAGAGGTTTTGTAGTGTGCAGCACAAGCTTTTGCCCCCCTGCACTGGCTTCCTTGCAGCAGCTGTCCCCAGTTCAGGCAAGGTTGGCGTCAGAGCCCCCTCAGCCAGGGGCCCCAAGTGACAGCTGGGCCAGAGGATGTGGTGCAGGGAGCTGGGAAGGTGGAGGGGGTGAGTTGACAGCCATCTGTTGCTGTAGTCATTGTGATTCAGGCTACTTTCAGGCTGTGTGTGTGTGTGTGTATGTGTGTGTGTGTGTTTGTGTGGGAGGGAGAAAAATGGGGAGGGAGTTTTATTGGGTTTGTTTAGTTCTGAGAGCACTGAGAGACTGCTGTGCTGTCAGCTACAGCCTCTCATTCTGCAACATGTTCCCACTTTGAGGAGAAGAAGCCTAGTGTGCATACTGTTTCATTAGCTCACAGCGCACCGGGCTTATCGAGGCCTCTGTTGGGACACGCAGGCATTTATGGTTTCTTTGTCTGCTTTGGTTCACACTGTCAAAACAGTGACCTTCTGCTTGGTAAGGGAAGTTGACAAATCTAGCCATGGTCCTGGTTTTCGTGCTGTAGCCAAGGCATGCTTTGGGAATTCAAAGAGACACCACCTTTTAATCAAAGGTCACAGTGAGGGCTGAGTCAAGCACTTTAAAACACACACCTACACAGTGTCCGGGAATGTGAGGGGCTTTCTGAAAGGGGAGGTCTCAGCTGACTGACCAAGTTCTGAGTTCCCTGAGTTGGCAAGCCAAATATTAACTCATCCAGACACCTTCTAGTCTGCTGAGTCTTGGATGTAAGGCAGCACAGCACTGTGCATTTCTCTGGTTAATGTTTAGAGTAGGTGGGAGGGGATATTTTGGTTGGTGGATGTTGGATTGTTTACCTGTTGGCGTGCATCTGTGTGTGTGTTGGTGCATGCATATGTGTGTGTGTACCTGGGAGGTCTGGGCATGCTGCCCCCTACATTAGATTCCCAGACAGTGAGAGTGCCAACCTCTTACGGCCTCGCTCCAGTGCTCAAACTCCCTTATTTGTGTCTGTGTGTGGGGGTGTGTGTGTGAGAGAGTCTGTGTTTATATGCAGCAGTCACAGGTCATAACCTCACCTGGCTGTTTGAACTACGATTAACTGAGAGGGAGCGGAAGAGAGCTCTCAGAGATCTCAGAGAGATGAACGCAACAAACAACATGCTTATTTGTGCACAGACTTCTTTCTGTACTGAAATGTTGAGACATAACACTGATTTTTATTTTCTTCATGTATTCATTCTTTAGACAAAGATGTTTTATTTCAATTATACAAATTATATTATAATTAAGTTTTTGTATTTGATAGAAAAAACAAGATAAACTGTGATATACAATTGAGAATCTGGTGCATTAATTGATGGATTCTGAGTTTTAGGGCCTTGCAAGTTTAGGGTCTGGGGTTGGTGGTCACCAGATGGCTTTGTAGTCACAGGGGAAGTGGAGCATTGTGCATGGTCCTAGTGACTAAACCATATGCACAACCATCTTGAAAAGTCAAATTAAGGGACAGCTAGACCTCCATGTCTTTTTGTTTGTGTCCTAACTGGGGGAAGGTTTGTCATTACTGAGATAAGACAAACAAACAAGAAGGCTCAGGTTCATATCCAACTTCTGAATGTCAGTTTGTGGTGCGTAATAGCATGAGTGATTGTGTAATGCTGTGTTTTCTGTCATCCAGCATGTGTTCTGGGGCTTCTTTCTGTATTCAAATCAGACATCAGGCTGTTTTTTGTTTATAGTTGCTTCAGTATTTCTTCATGCCTGTGGTTGAACCATGTTCTCTGCAGATTAGAGGCAAATTATTAAGAAAGGCAAAAAAAAACCTGAGATAAAGAGGTCCTCTGAAAGCATATGGAATGCAGGACTCCACCTCTGTTGTGATTTACAACTTTCATGTCATGTTCACCACATGAATGTAATAAGAACATGGACTTTTTACTTTTTACATACTCTTTTTTTATCCTCCAGCATACCTTCCTCATGCTTTACAGTCTTTTCTCTTCCTCACGTTGACTTTTCTCTTTTAATATCCTTCCTTGTTCTTTTGCCTCCTGTCTACTGATATGTCTCTGTCTAGGCTATGTTTGGCCTTGCCCAGTCTCTTCCCCTGCAGGAAGTTGTTAGCAGACTGATAGAAAGCAGGCTGAGGTCATTAGAACTGAACACCTGCTCAGAGGAGTTACTCTTTAACTGCTCTTCACACACACTCACACTCGCAGGGCTGCTGGTACGTTCACATAAAGCACATACACACCGTGTTTGATCTTACCCGAAGCCACTCCCTTGTTCTTCTCTCTTTTTGCTATTCACCGAAGAGGAGAGATGAATGAGAAAAGGGGAGGTAGAGAGATGAATGGATAGCGTCGAGGAGGAGTGCACGTCCGGAGATGGGCCGAGGCAGACTTGATGGAGCTGTGATCATTTGTGTGTGTCATGCTGCAGGCAGGTCAAGCTAAGGTTTCATGTGTGAGAGGACTGTGGGCATGTTTGGATTAGAGTGCAGCTAGTTGGCTAGCAATGCATTCTCCCTTCTGGCTTGACAAAGTTGTTACTGACTAATTTGGCATGTGTTGAAAGCAGAAATAGTCAAATGTGTAAACCTACACGTCTATAAGGTGTGCTTGGTCGTATGTAATGAGTTCAAATGTGTATTATTCTGTTTTTATTCACTCTTTGTATCTTTGGAGCCTCTGTGCATGCAGGCTTACCAAAGTGTTTCTCTTGTCCTTTAAGTGGCTCAGTGAGCAGCGCTCTGGTACATTTTTGTATGGGTTAATAAAAGATATGCTTTGAGTCGTGTACCACTCTGTGTTGTAGTCTTGCAGTGATTAAACTGCTGGCTCCTCCAATCACTGAACATTTAGTTGGGCAGTTCCCCTCCTCAATCCCCCCATCCCTCTGGTGTCCCATTCATTACTGGGGTGGTGAGCAGCTCTATAGAATGTAGCCAAATGTGAGTGAGTGAGTGTGTGTGTGTGTGTGTGTGTGTGTGTGTGTGTGTGTGTGTGTGTGTGTGTGTGTGTGTGTGTGTGTGTGTGTGTGTGTGTGTTGATTTGATCTTTGCACATGAGTGTGCGTGTCTGCTGTTGCACATAGTGTGGAGGGACTTGGCAAAGGTTGCCCTACAGCAGCACAAAGCCTCTGAGACAAATACGACATGGCACACCCAGCTGTAGAGAAAGTCCCAGGTGTGTGTGTGTGTGTGTGTGTGTGTGTGTGTGTGTATGTGTGTGTGTGTGCGTGTGAGTGTGAGTTTGTGTGGATATACTGTTTGTGTAAGTGCATCAGCCCCAGAGCACGGCTTGTGGTGTGACAGACGATTGCACACTCTGTTGCCTCTGAATGAGCCAGGTGACAAAACACACACACACACACACACACACACACACACACACACACACACACACACACACACAAAAGACGTTCCACACTACAAAAGCTATTCATCACTATCAGTGATGAGATTGCCGAGATCATTTTAGTTTTTTCATACTGGGAGCACCTCCAAGAAGTGTGTGTGTACTGTGGTATTACTATAAAATATGAGTAATCAGTTACATAAAATCAGATCATTTAAAGGTTCTCTGCTTGCTTTTCTAGTTACCGCAGGATGACGCGCTCCAATAGTGTAACCACAGCTGTGCAGGCTGACCTAGACGGTCCCACAGACCCCCCAGAGCTGCTGCCACGTCACTTTGCCACCATGCCGCGCCAACACTCCCGCGATGCTGCTACTTCTACTGTCAGCATCCAGGGCTCGGGGAACCACTACCACGCCTGTGCTGGTGACGACTACGGGGAGGTGGGGTTCGACCCTTCGATCCTGCCCCCTCCAGACCCATGGATGGACAGCGTAGCTGAGCCAGAAGTGGAGGCTGTCGGGCGGTCCGTGTGCCCCCGTGACGGCCGCTGGTTCCTCAAATTGCTGCAGGCCGAGACGGAGCGTATGGAGGGCTGGTGTCGACAGATGGAGCAGGATGAGATGGAGAATGAGCTGCCCGATGAGAGTGAGTTGAGTCATAGAGCCTAAATGCCAAGTTATGAAGACAAGAAAATCTGTTGTGCACTGATATTAGGTCTATTTTTCATCCTCCTCTCTTCTCCTCTCCTCTCCTCTGATTTGGAGGGTGCTGGTATTCATGGTATTGGACCACAATAGCTACTTGTTCCTGTCTCAGGCCCTCTGGCCTCTACAGACATACCGTACATACTTATCAATAGGCCGCTGCTGGCCTCAGACACACATCTCTCCTCTAGACACACTATATAATGATCTCTCACACAAACACAGTGAAGGGGTTTCTCTCAGTGCTCCTCCATGCAAGTATTTGATATTGACGTAACACACATATACACACCCTGCAGTGCATGCCTGTAAACATACGTCTAAATATGTTTTATGCACATACACTCACATGCACTTACCAGACTAAGCAAACAAGCCTTGGGCAGTAAGCACTGTATTTATACCTGTCCTTGCTGCACAGCTGATTTCATGTCAGCCAGTGTGCTGTTATGGTTCCAGGCAAGAGATTCTCTCACAGAACGTGCAGGACAGGGAGGCTGTCTCAAGGTTATGTTTTCCCCAGATCCCACGCTATCATGTGCACAAACACACACACACACACACGTACACACACATTCTGAAGACATTGCATCTGTAGTGCAGATTCATTACTCCCCCTCTCAGTTTCTGATACCATTTTCTTCATGTAGACTAATGTATGCACTGACAGTTTCTCTCCATGGGGATATGTGAGTCAATAGGACTGGCCATTGGAGTCAGGTTATGCAGTGCAACCTCTCATGTATTAGTCTGCCAAACAGACATTGTGAGAGAAATAAATAATGCATTCCTTTTGGATACATATACAGCAACCAAATAATTTTTTATGTGATATAAACATGATATTTTAATGATGATGATATTTTAAATGTTGTGTTCATGTAGGGGTTCTATTTTCAGAGTGCATTTCTTTGACTTTGGAATTTCACTGTTTTTTAGTAATTATTTGACTTCAAATGACTTCTTAGAGGCTGAGATAAAAGAAGATTCTAGCGCATCCTTTTCTGTTGCATTACAATGCAGCCTCTCTGTTGGCGCTGCAACATGCCTGCAGTATGCGGTTCTGTGAGTAATTGCATTGTGAATTGTGTGTGTGTGCTTGTGTGTGTGTGTGTGTGTGTGTTTGTGTGTGCATGCATGTGCGTCTATGTCTTTCTGCAGTCCTGGGGAAGATCCGCAGTGCAGTGGGGAGTGCCCAGCTGCTGATGTCCCAGAAGTTCCAGCAGTTCCGGGAGCTGTGTGAGGAGAATCTGGTATGTGTCACCTCATCCTCTGCATGCTCCCACAGCCCCCACCCCCCACAACACTGACATCATCCTGCACAAATCATCCTGACAGGCCAGGCCAGCGCTCATTTACTATGCACCTAGTGTAGAGTGTGCATCTGCACACCCTTACCGTCTCTCACATACAAAAAATAGAACTTGCTTTGTGAAGACTAAAGCCTGACAAACAGGGATTTTTAGATGCTGATACTAACATAAATATATATGCAGATATTTACTTTTATTTTACCATTTGCATGTCCAATTATTGTAAGTACCTGTGTTGCATAAGTTACCCATTATATAACTATAAGACCTGCCAATTGGAAACAGGTAATTTCTGCCCCTGGATGAAAAGGAAACAAAGGAAAGGTAAAAAAAAAAATCATTATTGACCCTAATTATTCATCATAAAATGCATAAAAATACAATTTTGAAATTAAAAAGAAAATATTTATAATGGATGAAAGATGAGTAATAGACAGATAGATTGACAAACTGATATTTTTTTTTATTAAACCAGAGTGTATGTAAGAAGTCAGAGGCATATTCTAGATACAAGCCCAGTACTCCAATATATTTACAGTATGGTGCCTGATTTATTTACAAATCTGTCATTCCAGTTCAAAATAACTTGCACCACAATATGGTTGACTCACTTGAATGCCAATTCTGTGATTTGTGCAGCTGCTGTAAAACTGAAACATCAGATAGCGACTTCCTCTTTCCAAAGAAAGCGTGATAAACATATAAACAATATGTGTTTCTATGTGTGTTCATGTGGACATGTGTTTAAGTATGCAATTTTTGTGTATCAGAACCCAAATGCACACCCACGGCCCATCTCCCAGGACCTGGCAGGTTTCTGGGACATGCTCCAGCTGTCTATCGAGAACATTAGCCTGAAGTTTGACGAACTCCACCAACTCAAAGCCAACAACTGGAAACCTCTGACCCCACCAGAAATTCAGGTGCAGACACACATGGCAAATATCGAATTCATTCCAACTCCATTTTAAAGTATCAGATGCATCTAATCTCAGTTTTGCTTTGGAATGCTTTACTAACCCGCATGTTATCTGCTGTCATTACTGTATAATTTGAATTGTAAGTCCTACTGATTCACAGTTAAGCTTTTTTGTAGCATGCAGACATGTGTTGCATACTGTCATGTTGCCTGCCTGACGTCACCACTTGTATTTGTGTGTTTTGTTCTGTCTTGTTGTTGACAGTGAGCTGCTTTTGAGAAACTTCTCTACCTGCCATGCACCGTTGGGGCCTGTCCATCTCCAATGGTCACTTTTACCTCACGCAATGGCCACCACCGTGCTCTGTTACCCCACACAAATGGCTGCCACTGTGAACCATAACCTCATTCAAAATTGCATGCTCTGACATTATGCCGACAACAGCCACACCGCTCTTATTAACCCTTACGCAAGCTGGCTGCAGTTGTGTTGCTCCTTACTGTGTTTAGCTGCAGCTTGCCATGGACTCAGTGGTCTGTCATTAAGACTATTTATCATTCCTGTCCAGGAGAGAAGGATGCCCCCTCCCGTGCCAAAGAAGCCCCTGAAGGGCCACCCTTCCCTGGCAAGGGACCGCTCACTGGAGAGCTCTGAGCGCCAGCGTCTGGAGGCTCGCAAACGCCTGCTAGCTGCCAAACGTGCCGCTTCGGTTCGGCAGAGCTCTGCTACTGAGAGCGCAGACAGTATTGAGATCTATATCCCCGAGGCTCAGACCAGACTATGAGACACACAAACACATGTACCTACACACATGCCCAAAACACAGTCCCATCCACACAATAGCACTGAATGGTAAGGCTAGGGTGCTAATAAAACATAATCACATTTTTAACAGACTTCACAGATCACTGTAGGGTCAGTCACGATGGAAGTTGTTTGAACAAGAAATGTATATTTACAGTATTTATTTATTTATTTCCCCTCGTTTCTCCCAGCTTTGATGTAGCAGTCCCTCCTCTTCCTGTACCTCCACCCGCCCCTCACTCTCAAAGACGTATCTTATAAATCCCTTTTTTTAAGTGGCCTAATATTTCAATGTAAGCCAGGTGTAGCACAGCAGTGATGCTTCACGTTAATGTGTTTCAGGTGCTGAGAATCAGAGAAGAACAGGGCAGGCAGCATGCATGTCCATGTGGAGTGTGCGCATGTACTGTATATACATGCAAACACATGCAGCAAGTGATATATTTTATCTGATTAGCTCAGATCAAATGTGTCAAATCAAATGGAGACCAGACCAGACCTATTGACTCGTAAATGATCTTATTTTTATACTTGTATAAAATCCCATGATCAGATTATGAAAAAAACATAAGCATGGAAGTCTTTGATTTGTATAATGAGGTCAAACATTAGAAATAATGGTGAAAAAACCAGACAAGGAAACTATAGATTCAGTTAGTGACACAATTGCCCTCTGTGTGGGTCTTTCCAGCAGAAGGAGGCTGACCCTGTAGGAAAGGTCAAGAGGTCCTCCAGGTGAGGCAAAGTTGATATTGAGCCAGGAGCAATCTTTGGGCTTCTGCAAAGAGTTAAATTCACTGAAAGAATCACTGTTCAAAACATGCCACAAACCTAATCTATGTGTGTGTGTGTGTGTGTGTGTGTGTGTGTGTGTGTGTGTGTGTGTGTGTGTAATAGAAAGAGCATATGTGTGTGTGTGTGTGTGTGTGTGTTATGATTCAGATGTTCATTTCAGAAGTGCTTCCTATTTTTCTAGGTCTAAAGGGTCCTAGTTGTAAAATGAAGGTAGCAGTATCAACAAACTGTAAACAAACCACCCATCTTGTCTCATTTTAAACTGAGCAAACCATGTTTGTATAAAGATCATACAGTATAATGACATGACATGCATGCTGACACAAGGTAACTAATATTTTTGTCTTTTCTAACCAGGTTCAATCCTTTCTCATGTTGCGTTCAAACTCTTCAGTGTTACAGGCAGCGCTAAAATACTGATATTTGGTACAATACTGGTAGTTGTACTATATTTTATTATGTCATTTTTAGACAAGAGAGGTATATTGACAGTATTGAGACTAAAGGACTGAAAAGGGACTATTTTCTCCTCACTGTGTGTGCACTATCTCTGCCTCCAAATGAAGCAATTATTTGAGGTCATACAAAAGAATCCAATTTGTAATATTTTGTATTCATGTTTAATTTATTGATTAGAAGAACAATGACTGTTTATTGACATTGCGATTATTATTATGCACTGACAACAAGGCCCTTATACTGTGTTTATGTTTTATTTATGTTGGTTCTTTTGCATGGCAGGCACCTTTTTTTTTGTCTTTTTCTGTTTCAGTGATCAGCCTTAATTTCTAATATGATAGTTGAGCACAACAGCAGTCTCAGGGGAAGAAGTGTGTGTGTGTGTGTGTGTGTGTGTGAGAGAGAGAGAGAGAGAGAGAGTGAGAGAGAGTGAGAGAGAGAGTGACTTCATGTGACTGTATGTGACCCATGGCTTTGTCTCTTACTGTATATAACCCCAGCCACAAGGATAGGCCATGATGTTAAACAAGGGAATAGTATCCATGCCATCTTTTGAGTGATGTTCCTCTTGAACACCTCAGCCCTAATACCTAATTACTTCAGTATAACAAGATATTTCTGTCAGCTGCTTGAATGTGGAGACAATCCTGAGCTGGTTTAGCCATCACATAATTGTTTTGATAACAGAATAGTAGGACATTGGTGTCCAATTCTCTGTATTGATCTTTTTGTGCCATTGAATAACTATTAAGTAAGGATATATTCCTACTATTTGTCCCTGTTGAACAGCTACCTGAAGCTTTCATTGAGAGACGTTTGTGAAGGAACTCAAGTGATGAAGTAACCGTACAGTATGAGTTGTATTTCCTTTAGTTGGTCGATAGGAAGTTTAGAGAGGGTGCATAAAAGTAACAATAGCTCAAACTTAATGCCATTTTATGTAGATGAAGCTCATTTTAGTATTTTTTACTTTGGAAACTTGTATTTTAATTGAATTGTCTGTCAAATGATTGACTTCTTATTTATGTTTATTATATTAACATATCAATATAATACTCCTGATATAGCAGGGAGTTAGAAACCAGAATGTTGGATTGTGGTTAATTGCTAAACTCAAAAGACACTCCAGCAATTCTGAAGCTTGTGACGTAGTTATATTAAGAGAAAAACATTCAAATAAACATTTGTACATAAATGAATGTTTCCCTATGTAAATGTAAACTAAAAAACCCCAATCAAATAACATATTAAGCAGATATACATTTTGTAATTAATGTTATTACACTGTTGATGTTATGGCACGTGTATGAGCTCTTATCAGCATTAAAAAAAATATCATTGCCATCATTTTGTGGTGTTCATTTCTTTCCCTGTCTCCACATGTGTTTTCAATTGGAATATAATTAAACAGATTACAAGGCCAGCATGGTGTGTTTTTAGGGCATTTCCCTTCCGCAGGGGCGGGTCCCCATAATTAGACAGCACTTTTGGCCTTGGCTGAGTCTCGTCACTCCTGTACATGCAGCTTCTGGTGATCTGTCATTCACACATCAGTCTGAGGGGAGGCACGCTGACCTCAGTGGCCAGAGGTCGTGGGGGAGGGGGGGTGGAAGTGGGTGTCGTCTTTGTATGAAGCCTGGCCCTGGGTCTGTCTGTCTTTCAGATGGCCTACCATGGTGGGCTACAACTGCCCGCTGTGTGCCTGGAGGTCTGTTTAAGCCCTCATTAGTGATTACATTCCCAACTTTGGACCCAACCTCCACCACAAAAGCTGTAACTTTGGATAGGGAACATCTGACAAAAGGTGGTACACTCAAAATACATTCTGAACATTTGTTGATGACCAGCAGGGACAGGATTACTCTGATAAACCAACCACATATTTTAGCTAGCGGATTAATGGAGAACTGATTCACCCTTGTTTTTTTTAATGATACAAAAGACAACCTCAGCAGGTTTTTACTCTTTTCAAAACTGAAAAATAGATTGGTGTTGAGCTTCAGAGAACAACTTGTAATAAATGAAAGGGTGACTGTCTCTGCAAATATAGACAACAAATCCTATTGAGGCCAATAGAACAGCTTTAGCAGGACCAGAAGGGAACAGCTGTCCTCTTCGCCTTGAACGAGCCAGCGTACTCGGTTGAAAGCTGCCTTACATTGACTCTATTGAGACACAGCCCCACATAAAGCCCCGCTGGCAAGAAACTGTTGACGTCTGCTGTATGCTTGTGTTAATTTATGCAGGATTATGCTAATTGGCAGGAGCCGTTGTAAACCTCTCACACACAGGAATGTCTCTGAATGCCTAACGGTAGCCTGTGGAAAGGCATGAGCGCTATACTATTTCTGTCCTGCCTTACTCCCATCTTTTATTTACTGAACATTCTGACTCAATACACTCTCCTTATCCTAGAGGGATGAATCTGTAATCTTCACAAAGTTCAGTGGGATTTACAAGAATACAGCCTGTATAAATGTGCCTTAGATTTAAGTGATCCAGCTGATCCGCAGGAGGGAAAATACCAAACGATCACTGTGAGATGTAGAAAAACAAAACTTTATTTGAATCCCATGTGACCCCTATTTGCCACAAACATTGCACAGTATGAAAAGAAATCACATCATTGGGCATCGTGTCACATTAACTATACACATGGTCCTATTATACATGAAAATGCTTTTTTGGTGATTTCATAAATGCTGTCTTTGTCAGGTTTATAAAACAGCAAATGCAGAAAAGACATCTGTAGTGTTTAATTTTCCAGTCCACTGGCCGTCGTTTTCGCTGAGTGATGGGATGAAGGCTCAGACTAAGAACCTGCTACATTGGTCATCTGAAATATCCCTTGGTGGGAAAAAAAAAGGAGTAAAAAAAAAAAAAAAGCATAGAGGTTTTTTCTTTAAAATAGCTAAAAGTAAATTACAAAATCAAAACTATACTTATACTCATGAAAACACATAACATTACTACAGTAGTGAATAAGTTTGTCATAGATGCCAAGAGCAAAGTATGTTTAAGACACTGAGATGACCTTCCTCTGCCTTTAGTGTGCAAACAAACGAGGCAGACTAATCATGAACTGATCTCTGAAATGTATAACAGTAAACGCGTGGATGCAACCAATCCGTCTGATTGGTCAGTGGAGGAGATGGAGGAGGGGCTGACTCTAGCTCTTGCTCCGTTCTCTACAATGATAAACAGTATAATGGAAAGACATAAGACAGGCAGCATTTCTCTGATAACATTTTTGGTCCCTGTGTGCAAATAAGATACACGTGTAGATACATACGCATGTACGTGAAATGAATAAACAACTTACAGCCAAGGCACCTCGATACAGTTTTTTTTTTTTTCATAAAAAAACATCCTCATTAATTTGATTGGTATACCAAAAATAGAAATGATCAGGCTTTCATGTGGATTTGTTCTCTGTTGCGTGCAGACAAGTCAATGAACTCAGGGGAGATCCATAGTAGACACAAAGTCAGTCTCTATTCCCTCCTCTTCTTCTTCTGTCACTTTCTCCCTTTAGGAGACCAGCTGTTTAGCTTGCAGCTCCATCTCTGCAGCCCGTTTGAGGGCCACGTCCACCAGGAGCTGGAAGCCGCTGAAGTCTTGTGTGAGGTCTGGAGGGGTGGGGGGAGGGGTGTTGAAGAGCCCACTGCGGGGACTCAGGTTGCCCTCCATGCCGGTGCTGCTGAGGATGGTGGTAGTGGTGGGGGGCGGCTGGCTGCCTGGCCCTTCATCCCGGCACCTGAGCAGCACCTGCGCAGACTGCCACAGCTCAGCCGCCCTGTCACAGTTCATTCCTGGCACAGAGGGGTGGGAGGATGTCGGGCTGGCCTGCATTGCTGTGGTGACAGTGGTGTGACAGATGACAGACGGGCGGGTGGGCATGAGCCCTGGAGAGGGGGACATGGAAGTTGGTGAAGGTAAGGATGGAGACACAGCCTTCCTCAGGACCCCGGGCATGGTGGGTTCAAAGCTGGAGGGGTGGAGAACGCGTTTGTCATAGCTCTCCTCTGTACCTGCTGTGGGACTGCTGTGTTTCGGGGACTGGGAGCTGTCAGAGAAGCTGTCGCCGGCCTTGCTACCTTTCCTGGATATGGTGAACTGGTTGGGATCTTTGCCATCTTTCCTCAGCATCTCTGGAAGAAGCCGCCGCCGTGCGTTAATGAACCAGTTGCACACCTGGAAAAGAACAACAACAAAAATCCATGCTGTGAGAAAGCCGTATCACATGGCTCACTGAGGTTCTGCCTTGCAATTTAAAAGAAAATCTGCTGGTACGCCTACCCTCAGGTGCAGTTTGCACCTGTGTTTTCAATAGGGAAAACAAAATGAAAGGATGAACACCTACCATCACACAGTATTTCACACATATATTCCTCACAATTAGCATTTCCTGTATATCATTCCAGCACTGCAGACACTAAAAAACAGACCTCTAAGATTTACTTCAAAGATTAAAATCACATCTCAAACTATGAGAAGCTAAACCTTAACTTTAAACAAGAAGTCTAGTTTGGACTTCTTAATCCTGCATTTAAAAGAGTTTTCAATACAAAGTAATCTCCTTTGTCATAGCAGTAATCATGGTCATCTCTCTTCTTTTTTCCTCCGTCCTCCAGGCTAGTCGTAACTGGCTCAGGGAGACTTGCAGCTCTAACCATGTAAATGACTCTGCATTGTTCCCAGACAGCTGGGATGGAAAGGGGCTGGAGGGAGGGAAATTCCTGTCCAAGTGCCTCAGCCAAGCCCACAGCATACAGGGAGTGAGTTTACTCATGTTGTCTCAGCCTTTAATGTTGCAACATCAAGCTGGTTTGGATGACCTTCAATTCAATGTTTATGTGTCATGTTTTGTTTGCCATCTAGACAGGAAATGATTCAGTCGAGGTGACACTTGCTTTCTCTTGACTTCACAGTGTGTGTTTACACTCGGAGGGTTTTTACTGACAATCTCATCTGTTCTGTTATGTCTGCGTCCGTACCTGTAGTGTGGAGAGCTGAGTCTGCTTGGACAGGAGGGCTTTCTCCTGTTCAGAGGGGTAAGCGTTGTAACGGTGCTCGTACAACCAGTCCCGGAGGATCTGAACCGACTCCTTTGGTAGATTCCCCCGTCGTTTCCTCTTCCCGTTGCTCCCTGCACTGGATGACAGATCCAGGGGGGCGTCCACGCTGTCCTCATCATCCGTCTCGCTCCCCGACAGCATCATGAAACCTGGGCAAGTGGGGAGAAAAAAAGAGCGTATGAGATAAAGGACAAAGACGACTATGTATCCTCTTATGTCAGCCACCCTGCTGTCGGTCTCCCTGCTGCAGCCGTTTACCAAACGCAAGCTGTTTGGGAGGCAGCTGATGTGTCAGAAGCAAGCTGTCAAGTTCAGCCATGTGATTCATATAAGGAGTGAGGGAGGGTGTGAGGAGGAGGAGGAGGAGGGAGGGAGGGAGGGAGGGAGGGAAGGATGGAAGGGGAGGGGGGGGGACGTCACAAAGGCTGGTCTGATGCTGTGGCAGTTATAAAACCTGCCTCGACAAATACAAGCCAGGTCTACTGCACAGACAGAGCACACCTTGCATGCTTGGATAAGTTAAGTACACTGGGCTGACCACAAGAACAATCACTCTGTAAAGGGAGATTTTGTTTTGAAGAACGACCAGTGTATTTGCAAAGATTAGAGAGCTGCTTTCTTTATTGATTTAGTGTTTTTAGGCATGTCTAATCAAAGTCAATCATGATCAAACAGGATTTGGGCCTTTGAATTACTCAAAATGTGAAGCCAGGGAAAACAAACCTGTTTATAATGTATAATAATGTGTGTTTTTAAAACCCACTTTAAATCAGACTTTTTTGTCAACAATTAGTCTGATTTTAATCTAGTTTTCAACATTTTAAATTATACAAAAAACATTGGCAGAAATATAAAGCACATATTTTTTTATGATATACTATTAATGGATCATAGTATGCTATGCAGCCACCCAGACGCCATTAAGAAAATTCAGAAATGTGGAGGATATTCAATCCACAAGCCAATGTAGTCAGCTCTGGGGCAAACTAGTGGGAAAGGAATAAGAAAGTTCCCAAGTCTGAGCGGCCAACAGGATGAGGTAATTACGTAGGCTGGAGCGAGGGGAAGGGGAAGGGGGAGGGGAGACCTGTTGCAAATCAGCTTCTCCAGACTAAACAAAAGAATCTGGGGCTGCGTGGTTCTTTGTATGCGATTCAAAAGTTTCTACACGAAAAACAGCGAGTTCGCCACAAACTTAACTCCCTCCAAAACACCACAGTTGAACAGAGTGGGCAGAAAATACGTTTAAAGTCCACGAAGACACTG